CCTAGGGAGAGCTTTTCAAATATTGGGGCTGCCATTTTCAGGGTTCATCTTTTTGAACAGCAGTCCCAAGAGACACAGTTGTTGATTTCCCATCCCTCCCGTCCCATCAACTTTCCCACTGTGGCTATGTTGAAAGCAATAACAGAGGAAACGTGTGCCACATCTCAGGGCCCACTAGGGTTGTCTTCAGTTTTTTCAAGGAATTGAGAAATGTGCAGATTTGAAGAGTGGAATAATACAGTAGAGATCAGCAGTTTCCTGTTACTAGTGATGATTGGCCCACCTTCCCTCTGGACTTATAGTGCTCATTGGGCAAGTAGTTCTTTCTTGTCATCATCCTTTGTATTCTGGAAAGATAGCTTCCCTTTAATAGCAATAACATTTAGGCTTATATACTGCCCCACAGCGCTTTATAGCACCCTCTGGGCAGTTTACAATGTAGTGGCATTATTTGCATATTGCCCCCCAAAATCTGGGTTCTCATTTTACCAACCTTGGATGGATGGAAGGTTGAGTCAACCTTGATCCCTGTCAGGATCGAACTCCAGGCTGTGGGCAGAGTTTGCCTGCAAATTGGCTTTCTAACCACTGTGCTACCAGGGCTGTATAAGAAAGCTGGCTCCACAGCAGTGTATATGGAGGTATAATTTATGGGAAGGCTCAGTACAGAGAAGCACCATCATACTTTCCACTCATGGATTCTCGCAGTAAGGGCAATCCCTAAAAGCATCGAAGATGGAAATGCTACTGCTGCTTGTCATTTTATTCCTCAGAAGTCCTCTTAAGTCAGGAAAAAGAAGAAGCATAGCTATTACATTTCCTCAGTCTCTGTGCATGAATTCCTTAGTGCCAGTTTCTCGTATAGTTCTAAGAAAGTGGATAAAGAAGAATAGTTATTGGGAATAAAATGGCAGAGGATTAACTCCCAGGGACCCCAGGAAGGTTTTATGTCCCTTTTTTCTTTGTTTTACATAGTAGTTTCACTCTTCTATATAAGAAAGTCCATGACACCATTGTCTTCCAAGGAAGAATTCAGTCCCTGTAAATTTCAAATGAGTTGTTTGATCAAGGGGAGGCCAAAGTATTCCCATTAACTTTAGATATGGCAACTGACATCACCTCCCCAGTTACACTGATTAGGATTATGAGGTCTTAGTGAATATCTCTATGTGCAAAGAAAAAAAAAAACGTTTAAAGGTTTCCCCGTCCAGTTACAACCGGCTCAAGGAGGAGCTCATCTATGATTCTCAGCTGAGGGGGCCTGTATTGTCTGATAGACGCTTCTGTCATCATGTAGCCAGCATGGAAATACAGAAAGCAGTAACTTTTCTGCCAAAGAGGTACCTATTTATCTACTCACATTTACATAGTTCCACATTTAATGCATCATGAAGTCATACTAATGCCCAAGCAAAATGCTGACAGTACATACAAGTATAAACTATTCCTGGACATATATCTTTATTGGAGTTCTTTTTTGAAGCTTTAATGTCTAAATATGTTGCCAAGACGACCTTTCCTGTTTAATACATAATTTAGCTTCACTGATAGTGGACATACGTTAAAGACATGGAGAATCTTAAATCTCTGATTTTGTGTCCTGGTTCAGAGTAGTTCCTTCTGCTTGACTGCAGAGAAACCAGCTCCATTTTGTGGTCTTATCCCTTGGATTTTTCCCATAAGAGTTTTAATTTTAATTTTAAAAGTTGTGGTCCCCCCCCCTTTCCCCTAATCCCCCTTTTCCTTTGCCACATGTTTCAGTAATAATTTGGGTATGTCTTGTATTATGGTTTATTAATGTTCTGTTAGCTTGTCTGGGAGACTTCTGGATTGATGGGTAGAAAAGCTTTAAACAGATAAACAACTTCAGTTCTAACAATATCTGGATAAACCTCTTAAAATCCATTTGAGAGGATAGAAAGTTTGCCTTAACCAAACAAGCAGCTCTGTACCAGGATAACAACACAATCATCAGAAGTATTTTTATCCCATTTTTCAACTTGAGAAAGCTCCTGGAGCAGCTTACAAAAATCAATAACGGGAGTGTGCTGACTGAAGAGCTTTCACACATATTAACTGTAAATCCTATGGAGCTATAGAAAAAAATAGCTGGAGGGTTAGACACAAAAGCCGCTTTACTTTGAAATGGACAATTTATAATTGTTTGCTGGTATAAAATTGAATGTTTCAGTCTCGATTCAGGATTCTTCAACCTTACCATGTTCAGTAGGGTTAATAGTCTCAAAAATTCAGAATTAAGACTTCAAATAAAGTTGTTTGGGAAAAAAATCAGACATGTACAGGCTACCTACGATTTCCAACAGATTGTATATTATCTCCTTCAAGAGTTTAGATAGCACTTCATTTACAGACCTCTATTCTACTAGACAATACATGATAGCTTAAATCTTTCCATTTGAGCTAACGTTTCTAGTGACATTTTGTCTATAATTGATCTTGACAGAGAGATGGATTTGGGGCTGCCTTCAATCTATGAATAGTTCATCCTTGTCTGCAGTACATGTGGAAATGGGCTAACTAGGTCAAAATGGATTTTTTTATTTTTGGATAAGTGCAACATTTTTTCCTTGCAGGTGTCCCATCAATGGGGTGACGTCATCAGGTGGCAGTTCTGAACATCTTAAAACAATTTGCATTTTTAGTAGGCTTGGGTGGGTTTCAGAATGGAAATGGATGTATTTTCATTTACAGACCCTTAACATATTTATTTCATTACAACTTTTTTTCTAAACGCTTTCTGCTGTGGTGTTACCCAAAATGGATGTAATTGAGCACTGTAGGAGCTTGTTTTTAAGTCTATAAAATAACAATAAGAGCAGAACTCTTCACTATGCTCATTGTTTGCAGATTACCACTTGGCAGACTTGTTCAGAATTACCTGGGCCTTTATAAAGAAGGATGCCAGAATGATTTTGTTAGTTTCTTGGCAGATAAAGTTAATGCAATGAGTGAAACAGGGTCTAATGTTATTATCTGGATCTGCTTGAGCTTCCTAAGCCAAAGATAATAGATAAAATCTTCTGTGATGTGAGTTATGCCACTGGTAGGCTTGGCCATGTTTCCCTGGCTCCATGTGGCAGTTGGGGTGGAGAGGGTGAGCAGCTGGATCTGGGAAATGTTCAGTGCTTTTTTAAAAAGTGGTGTGTGTGTGTGTGTGTGTGTGTGTGTGTGTGTGTGTGTGTGAGAGAGAGAGAGAGAGAGAGAGAGAGAGAGAGAGAGAGAGAGAGAGAGTCATGCCATCTATTGTAAAAGAGATATTTGTGTTCTTTTCTCCCTTGAATACATGCTCCTTTGACCCAACTGTTTCTGATACTTTTTAAGGATGATTTTTGAAATGGTGCTCGTGGCTCAGCAACTGTGATGGAAAACCTAGATGGGAAAACCAGGAGAGTCAGGGCTGTTGCAGAAAAGATTTCTTGAATCCAAGGGAGGGGGGATGTAAGAGAGTAATTCCATCTTAATTATATTAGGTATACAGTATGTTGTTTGGGTGAATTGCTTTTGGTAGGCTTTCAGGTTTCATTTACATTACCCTACTAACAATAAAGAACTTTCTAGAAAATGTTTCCTTAGATTGCCAACCTCACAGGGTCTAACAGTTACAGACAATTCTAGAAAAAAATGGTTTATCTTGATTCTTGCCAGTCAAGATTCAGACCCAGTGAAGGAATGACTACCTGGACCTTGATCCAAGGAACTCACCTCCACTGGTTCTATAAGATGTCTCAGCAACATTTGAAACCATCAAGTATAGTATCTTCCTAGATAGCTTATAGGGGCTGGGAATCGGGGTCCTGTACCTCTATTCTATCTGAGCAGGCAGTTGCGGTCTGTAATCGGGATAGGAAGGATAGTGTTTAAGGCCATGAATATTTCAGTACAAAGTACTATAAGGTTCAGTGCCCACCCCATACACATGAATCTGCTAGGATAAATCATCTGAAGATTTGAGGATGGTGCCCTCATTATATGGATATTACATAAGCTCATAAGACTACAGAGATCTATTATTGCATAGCAGCGGTTAGGCACCAAAATGCCATGCTTTATGTATGACCGTCTGGCAAGAACACAGCAAAAAAACTTGTCTTGGTATCCCTATTCTGCCTAAGCGGTGATAGAATAAGTGGGGACCATAGCTTTTGCAGCCTGTGTATGGACCTCCTTGCTTCCAGATGTTCAAGCAGCCCCTTCCTTTTTGGCAATATGCAAAGCTGTTAAAACAGTATTGTTGTACCTTACTCTTATGCAGAATTAAATTTTTCTGCCATCTGCACGATTTCTGTTAATTATGTCTTCCTTTTGTTTTTATCTTATTTTTTTTTCTATTCTATGCTACCAAGAGGTTAGGTGTTGAGATGGGTTGTAAAAAATGAAATAAAAGTAGAAGAATCTCACAGTGCAACAAAGTAGATATTATACTACTGAATTTCAGTGATATGATCCAGGCGTGCTCTGGGGACTTTGCACTGATTGCGGTGGTCCTTAATCTAGAGAAGGCTGAAAACAAGTTGTTTTTATTATACGATAGATCAGTGATGTGAACCTTTTAGAGACCAAGTGCCCCAAAACTGGCCCCACCCTATTCTACCCCCTGCCCTGCCCCTACCCCATCCCCTGCCCCGCCTGCCCACAGGGCCACTCACTGCCTCCAGGGCCCGCCACAGATCACCCAGGCAGCTCACCAGCACCATGGTGGCCACGCCCTCTGCCTGCCCCCCACAGCCTCAACTGTGCGCGATGGGGCATGAGAGCAAAGTCTTGTCTACACTGCCTGGCTGCCATGTCCTTGGCTGCGCTCCTCCAGGGGGGCTGGTGAGGGGGTTGTGGGGGAGGCGAGGCTGGGGCAACGGTATGTGTGTTCACAGAGAGGGCCATAGGTTCGCCATCAATGCGACAGATAGATAGATAAATAAATAGATAGATATTTAAATACTGTAGGTATAATACAGTTGTTTAATTTCATTCATTTCTTTTAGGTCCACGATGGGCTTCCTGGAATACAGGTGTCTTTATTTGTATCAGATGTGCTGGAATACATCGAAATTTGGGAGTGCATATATCCAGAGTCAAATCTGTCAATTTGGACCAATGGACACCAGAACAAATACAGGTTAAAAAGTTACATTCAAGTTATATTATGAGAGGTTTGGGGAGAGTTTGTTTCAAAATATATGTTAATATAAAGGAATATTCTTATTTGAAATATTTTTTTTAAAAAAATTAACAATTTTTTCTAGGTAGTTGTATAATTATTTTCTGAATGCACTTTTATGTGGGAACTGCATCTTGCAACAAGTTATTTTAAGTGTTCAAGTTAAAAATTTTCTTTCTAATCTTAGTAGCACCTTGTACATACCAAGGATATTGGCGAAAGATAGATTGTGCAAAAGGTTCTTACTCATAAGGGGTTGTTCAGTCCTTATTTAATCCATTCCAAGTACTCCAGAAGTTTTCTTATTTCAAATTGGTCTATTTCAAGTATTCTGGCAGGTCAGAATAGCACATTCTGACTTCTAGAAAATTTGGTGAACTTTAGTGTCTAAATATTCAGTTTCTCATGCTTGCAATATAATGTTCTAGGTAGTAAAATATATCCATCAATTTTTAATATTGAAAAATGGTGAACTAATATTTGTTTTGTTTCCATGATTGTATTTTTTGTAAAATGTTTATCCTGTTTTTTGTTATATAAATTTTGTTGTATAATTTTCGTAAAATGTTCGTGTCTGTTTTCAGTTCTACTGCATATTGTTCCTTATACAAACAGAAAGAATAGTATGCATTAAGATAATCCTTATTTGCTGCCATATGGTTTGATATTTATGCAGATGTTTGTAAACAGGGTCTAGAATTATTTGTTTTATGATATGAGGCTTTCAAACAAAATTGAAAATTCACTGAGCCTGCCAAACCAATTTTAATCGTTATGCCTATGATAACATTTAAAAACAGAATTCTAATATGTGGAATTCTTCATTCACTTATTAAAATGGCTGAAAATAACAATAGAAAAGATGTTTAAAATAAATATTTCTTATAAAATTATAAAATCAACAAATTCTAAAGAGCAACGAAGATGATCAGGGGACTGGAGGCTAAAACATATAAAGAATGGTGCTAGAATTGGGTATGTATTTAATGAAAAGAAGGACTAGGGGTGACATGATAGCAGTGTTCCAATATTTGAGGGGCTGCCACCAAGAAGAGGGAGTCAACTTATTCTCCAAAGCAGCTGATTGTAGGATAAGAAGCAATGGGTGGAAATTAATCAAGAAGAGAAGCAACCTAGAACTAAGAAGAAACTTCCTGACAGTTAGGACAATTAATCAGTGGAACAACCTGTCTCCAGAAGTTGTGAATGCTCCAACACTGGAAGTTTTAAAGAAGAGATTGGACAACCATTTGTCTGAAATGGTAAAGGGTTCCCTGCCTGAGCAGGGAGTTGGACTAGAACAGAGGTCCTCAACCTTTTGGGCACCAGGGACCGGTTCCGTGGAGAGAGTTTTTTTCCGCAGACCGGAGGGGGCATGGTTTTTTTTGTTGCTGGCATCCCATGGATGGGGCTTTTCTTGTTTGTGCGGCCTGGTTGCTAGGATGCCACGGACCAGTACTGGTCCACGGACCAGGGGTTGGGGACCACTGGACTAGAAGATCTCCAGGGTCCCTTCCAACTCTTCTCTTATTCTATTCTATTCTATTCTATTCTATTCTATTCTATTCTATTCTATTCTATTCTATTCTGAAATAAGAATACAGATGTGTTGTTGAAATAGATTTAAAAATAATATTATAGCATTAAATGTTTCTGTTGCTGAAGGAATTAAACTTTGCTCCATGTAGTCCTTGACTCATAATAGTTGATTTAGTGACCATTCAAAGTTACAACGGCACTGAAAATGGACTTGTGACCATTTTTCACAGTTACAACCTTTGTAGCATCCTCATGATCGTATAATCAAAATTCAGATGCTTGGCAACTGGTTCATACTTATGACCATTGCTGTATCCCAAGGTCATGTGATCACCTTTTGCAACCTTTTGACAAAGTCAATGGGGAAGCCAGATTCACTTAACAACCCGGTTACTAACTTATCAGCTGCAATAATTCACTTCACAACTGTGACAAGAAAAGTCATAAAACAAATGTCTCACTTAACAAATGTCTCACTTAACAACAGAAATTTGGGGCTCCATTATCATAAGTCGGGGATTACCTGTTCTTTGCTATAGTGGGTGGCTGAGGCTACATATAGATGTTGGGGGTCTCAGACCTTGCCTCCAAGAAGGGTTGGAGTCTTTATATACTGATCCTGCTTTGGACACCGCCTTGGTAATTTCTGTTGTTGCATCTCTTTTGCAGCAGGATACCGAACAAACTTCATCTTCCTAATCTTGGCATATGAGTGATATAGCACTCTCATATCTGCTTTCTGGGGATTAAAAAATCAAACTATAAGAATTGAAATAATTTTAGCAGTTTAGTCTTTTAGTTCAAATAGCATAGATCCGTGTTGCTAAAAGGTTCTGCCCTTCTTTGGAAATAGACTAATCTCACAAGAGATAAACAAAATTGAATTTTATTAAAAAAGAAAAAAGGATAAAATGTAAGAACATCTTTTAATTTACATTCATATACAAGTGGTAAAATAGGTAAATTATCAAAAATCATTTCCATCACAGGATAACAGCTGCTGAAAAGAAATTTACAAAAAAAATAAAATAAAAAATGCAGTGCTCCAAGTGGACCCAAGATGGCCAACACAATTACTGTATAGAAAAGCGGCTTATAAAGAGATTAGAGTGAGATTCAAATTATAATATTAAATTATTCATTCTTACCCAGCCTTAGTTAGGAACACAGACTGACATTGCACAGAGTTCAGTAGTTGGTACAAACAAATAATATAGGACAGTAATAATTTAATTTAAAAACAAGCCGTTAAGCTGTATGCAATTCCCTGCCACATGTGTTACCGATTTCTACAGAAATAGTGCTACCTAAAGCATCTGCTTCTGCGTTTCAATTCTCCTGGGCATCCCAGCTTCTTGGAAGTTCCAAAAGTTAATCAGAGGCTATGGATAATGAATTTAGTCTCTTGCTTTTCCCAGTATGATTTACAATATCTGGAGCTGTGCCCACAGTTTTAAAAAAATTTCTATCTCTACAGAGAGATGATTTCATTCTGTACATAATTCTATGCCTACATTGCCTCTCATGGGGATATTGATGGTTTGGCATGAAAGGCTACTCTGTCTATCATGGATGTCTCAGACTTGCAAAGAGCCTTACATTCATCATAATCTTTGAAGAAGACTATTAAAAAGTTCCAATAACTGTTACCAGATTACGGGAATGATCATTAGCTGCAAAAGTAGTAACCTGGGCATCTATACATCTTAGGCTTTTATAGATTTTTTTTTTACATGTTTGCTCATGAATATGTCCTATTCTGTCTCATAATAATGACTCTTATGTAAAATGACTACTATAGTAGCAAGTTTATCCTAACGTGCATTAAACTAAATGGAACTTTTTTGTCATTGCTTTCAGTGCATGCAGGAGATGGGAAATACCAAGGCAAGATTACTTTATGAAGCTAATTTACCAGAGAACTTTCGAAGACCTCAAACAGATCAGTATCCTTTTTTGCATTTCCATTTTTGAGGGACATTGGAGTACTTATATATGATGATGATGTTAAAATGGATGCATGCATGTTGCACAATGGCCAAGTATAAATGTCAGGATTCTCAAAGGTGTAAAAGTACTTTTTTAAAAAAAAAAATAGGCTGTTTAAACTTAAAACACTATTTCCATTTTAGTTTGATAAAGATAATATTTACTTCAAGAATACAGGAAGAAAGGAAGCAATGTCCCATTGCTTAAATGTGAAGTTACTAAAGATGTCTGTGATACATCTGGCATATTTAAGCCTAAGAGCCAAAGTTAGCATATTAATAGCGCATTAGAACTTACCATGGTGGTGGATTTTTGAAAGTGGAATGTTTGGAAACTTAAATCTCCCTATGCAAAAAAAATTATATTGAGGAAATTGATTGAACTCAAACTAAAATTGTCTTATCTTGTAGAACAATCCTTCTCATCACCAGTATTCCAGCTTTGACCCCCATGCTTCCAGTTTTCCAAACTAGTTGAGCAAGAGCGCATCCAATCAGTAAGAAATCTAAATAAAGCTATAGATCCATCATAAATTCTAATTTCTGTTAGTGAATATGCTTGGAATGATAAGTTTAATTTATTCTAGCGCCTTGATGGGAAGTGATAAAATACTAGCTTTGTAAAGCATATGGTGCAAGTGAGGCTATATTAGTAAAAAAAATTGAACCCCCATTTTTAAAATTCAGTCTGAATAGAAAAATTGGAGAAAATAGGATGTATTTGTCATGTATCAAAATGATTATACTAAGGTTATAAAAAATCAAATATGAGAAAGAACATTCTAGTATACTAGTGAAAATTGAACAGGCATCCTAAATTTGAAGCAGTTCAGTTCTGGCTTTAGAATTATTATAAAATTACACTTTCTGCACTGAAAACTTCTGTTGTATGATAGCTTATGTGTATGTCTGTGCGTGCGTATATGCATGCATCTTTTTTTTGGTTTTCTTATTTTGTCTTTTCCTTAAACTAACTTATTCAGAGCTGTGGAGTTTTTTATCAGGGATAAATATGAGAAGAAAAAATACTATGACAAAAATGCCATCCATGTCACCAGTGTAAGTAAATATAAATTACTATTCTTTGAACTACTCTGAAGTAATATGTGCACAAGAAAACATAATTATATAATTAATATAAATATTATGAATGTTAATTCTATAAATAGTATTACATATATCCAAGAGGTATGAAATATATTATTAATATAATCAATGTTGTTATTATTATTATTAATAATAATACTATAAATAGTATTACATACATCCAAGATAATAGAAATAGATTTTAGTGACACTTATCTCCATTGCTATAATTGTATAATTGGTTTTACTTGTATAGATAATTAAATATCTTGATGGATATTTGAGGTCTTAATTCAGTGAGAATTTCACCTCTAAATATACAGGATTGTATATTGTGAAACATGAACTGTTTCTGAATACTTTACTTTTGTTAGACAGTTTATAGAATCTGAAATAGGATCTAACTCTAATCTTAATCTCTAAGGAAAATACATTAGGTACTTAAATTAGTTTAAAGGCGGTAAGAAGAGTGGAAAAATCTGGAACAGGGTATGGAAACACAATGCAGAAGAAGGACAGGATAGATGTGCTGTTGTTAATGCAAAATAAAAAGAATATTTCAATTAATTCATAGTGGAAATAGGGTAATTTATCAGAAAAAATCAGTAGGAAATTAGTTACAAGCAACTTGTCAAAATTGTGTGACTGAAGTGAAATATGAAGTGAAAGTTTGCCACACCCATTGCTACTGAAAGAACTTGAGGAAGTAAAATAATTGGCTTTAACAAGAATTGCTTCAGATCAGAATAAATGTTTGTCTAGCTTCTAATTTTGTCTCTTATTAACTAACCAAACACACAGTTGAAGTTGATATCTCCTGATGTTGCTAGTTATAAGCTGATTACAGGTTGTCCTCAACTTATGATCACAATTGACCCCAAAATTTCTGTTGCTAAGCAAGGTAGTTAAGTGAGTTTTGCCCTGATTTACAATCTTTCTTTTCACAGTTGTTAAGTGAATCACTGCAGTTGTGAAGTTAGTTACATGGTTGTTAAGTGGACCTGGCTCCTCATTGTCTCAAAAGGTGATCACATGACCCCAGGACACTGCAAATGTCATAAATACATGCTAGTCGCCAACCATCCAAATTTTGATCGAGTGATCACGAGGATGCTGCACTGGTCGTAGGTGTGAAAAACGGTCATAAATCACTTTTTTCAGTGCCATTATAATTTTGAATGGCCACTAAACAAAATGGTTGTAAGTTGAGGACTACCTGTTTGCAGCTTGCGTTTGAGATGGGAACTCAATACCTAATTCTCTGGGTTATAGTTCCTTGGTATTTTTCTACTCAGAAAGAGTTGTATACATTGGATTTTCCTTGCAGGACTGGCCACTTGCCTTTATTAAAAAATAGTGTGTAGTCAAAGGACATAAGCTGCAGTAGAACAGTTTCAGGAAATCTTTGAGGCTTTTGTAATTCAAAGAGCACACTGTAGTTCAGGGGTGTCAAACTGGCGGCCTGGCCGGATGTGTCACACACAGGCCATGCCCACCCCGGCTCTGCAATATGTCACAATACGTAATGTGATGCCATCAAGTTTGACACCCATGCTGTAAAATGGTCTCATCACGGAAGCAGGAAAACTTCTCTCCTTATAAACTCCTTATCACAGTGAGTAAGATTGATCACAAGACCCTCAATTTATCAGAAAGTAAATGATAGCGGTCCTTGTTTGCCTACTTCCACTTCTTTCACCTCAGATGCTTTCATTTTCTGTTTTTCCTAAGCAAGGAGTCTCACTTCCACATAAAAGTGCTGGTCTGCAGTATTTACTTGTTTATTTTTTAAAAAAATTCCTCTGAGCTCTGCACAAACTCCAACAGTATTATTCTAGATAAATATGATGCTGATGTCTTTGCTTTATTGTACACTTATCTGGCGTTTATTAATTAAATGGACTCTTTTAAGAAGATAAATTGAGGCAGATTCCCTATGAGACAGCATTATTAGAACTGTCTGCATGCATACTGATGTCTACACGGTTGTATTGTTTATCTCTGGTATAGGGTAACCAGTGACGCTAGAAGGGAGGAAAAAAGTTAGGTCTGGCCTTTCTGTGAGCCATATGGGAAGAATAAATTGAGAAGCATACCTAAAGCAGTCTTCCTCAAACTAACTGGAATTCAATGACAGGTAGTCCTTGACTTACGACCATTTATTTAATGATCATTTGGAAGTTACAGTGACACTGAAAAAAGTGATTAGTCTTTGCACTTAGACTGTCACAATGTCCTCTTGATCACCTGATTGCCATTGCTTCTGGCAAGCAACATCAGTGGGGGAAACCTGGTTCACTTAATGAATGTGTGATTTGCTTAATGATCATAGCAAATAAAGCTTTTAACATCAGGTGCAGTTCATTTAACAACTGCATCACTTAGCAGTGGAAGTTCTGGTCACAAGTGCGATCATAAGTTGAGGACTGACTATATCAACTTTAAACATTTTCAGCAATAAGTATGTTGACTGAATAATCCTGTGAGCTGATATTCACGGTATCAGTACTCATATTGAGTAAGCCTGCTTTAGAGTAAATCTTAAACAATGTTTCCTATTGTCATTGCTTTCAAAAGAAAAGGCTTTATTTGGTAGTTATATATTTTGTTTAGCATTATTATTATTTTTCCTTCATAAAATAAATCCGTTGGAATGAGCAAAAACAAAGATTCCTTTGCTTGTTTCGCTACTCCTGTAGGATAGTATCCTTTTTTTTAGTTCAGGACATTAATAATTCATGAGTCATGCTGGATAAAACTGAACAATGGGATGAGAGGCTTAATTATTTTCTCTTCTGTTAGTGATGTGATCTTATCAGGTTTCATTTCTTACTTTATATTCTAGCAGATTCGTCCATTGAGCATTTACTATACCCTGATCGGATTTTAACTTTTAAAAATGTCTTTAGTAAATTTTGAAAGGGCAGTTGACTCTGTGTAGCATTCTATGTAATAATTAAGTTCTGTACCTCCAGTTAATACTATGTTGAACTGAGGAAGTGATTGACACTCATTTATCTTGTTTGAAACAGAATTTTAAAAAATATTTTCAATAGCAAAATTAGCCTAAACTTAGTCTCTCTTCTCTTCTCTTCTCTTCTCTTCTCTTCTCTTCTCTTCTCTTCTCTTCTCTTCTCTTCTCAAAAATTGAAAGCAATAAAATATGCTGGTGGCTTTACTGTTGCCTGTCATATTGTCTTTTTTCATCTTTCATCTGCTTTGTACAGATGTCTTCCTCTGATGCTGCTCAACCTCAAACATCTTCTCCTTCTCTGCAAGCTGCCTCTGAGCAAAGCAAAATGGAGGTATTCCCTCTTCTTGGTGTTTATGTTTTGTTTGGTGCAGATGTGCTCTACTTTTGTTCTGAATGGCTATAGTACATGCTAATACATTTGTTTGTGGCTTACTATGTGTGAATTCAGCTGTAGTTGTTCATTGTGGTTTCTATGATGCATGGCTTAGCATAATGCAAATTCAGCTAATATGGAATTATTTTCTGATATATTTCTGATATATATTTGTAATTTGTCTTAGGTAGGACTAAAAGTATTTTAAGCCAAACCGTAAATGTTATGTTGTAAATCCATCCAAAAAGAATTTCTACTTGGATTTTTAACAGATCAGCTTGAACTATTTCGTAATAGCATACAAGTCTGTCCTAGTGTCATGGTTCCGATAGATGAAACCCATTAAAGAACTTCAAGGCAAGAATTCCTCCTAGAGAACATTTTATTCAGGAGACGAAGTATCGGCACTACATGGTTGAACCCAAAACTAGATTCCCTTCCTCCAGATACAAAGTAACAAATTGCAAGTCCCACTCCCACAAAGCAGTCATAAATCACATTCTCCAATTAGCCAGGAGCTCGGGTTCTCTCCCCAGCTCCTCAGCCAGCCTGTTTATGTCCTTGAGTTCCCATGGAGCTGCATTGTTATTATAGCTAGCTGAGCTCAAGCATTCACCCCATCCACTCTTCAACACCTAATTTCTAAACAGAAGAAAAAGCATGTTAAAAGCAAAGTAAAAATGGCTGCAATTTCCATCAGTTGTCAGAGCAGAAACATCTAATGTTACAGCGTTGACACCTAGATTTGCAACTTACCGTAAATGCCGGCGTATAAGACGACTTCCGCGAGCGCTGAAATCGGCGCCAAAGACGGGGGTCGTCTTATATGCGGCCCCGAGTCGTCTTATACGCCGGGTCGCCTAATACACCGGCATATATGGTAAATTGTTCCTTAGATTTCCTCAAAATAATTATTGTTATGAAGATAATGGATTCCAAGCAGAATTGCCAAGTTATTGGCATAATTTTGAAAATGAATTATTAATTAATAGAATGCATTCCTCATTTTCAGTTGTCTGTGTACACATTTAGTAATCCTCCATCCTGAATATGTTTTCTTTGAAATAAGATCCTTTCATTTCAGTAACACTTATTTCCAAGTGATTTGATTTGGGATTTCTAGGCTGTCTTTGTATAAATATCCACATAATAAAAATGTCAATTCCATATGCTTTCCAAAATGAGAGCCGGCCGCAGTATCTTGGACTACCTCTTTATTGCTTTGTTAGTCTTGAATGTGGTTTAAATTACGTCCACTGGGGTTTGCATATAGAGTTTGAATTGGAATTGTAGGCTTTTAGTTATTTGCTTGTTTGTTTGTTTATAGTATTTGCAGGCCACTCACTCCTTTAAGGCTGGGGGGGGGGGAATCTACAGAAACAATCAAAATGATTGAAGACTAATCCCTTGTCAGATTAACCACATCAGATTCCAATGTATTATTATATAGTCATTTTCTGAATCATACTTATGGTTTTTAAGACATTCAACGCAATGTGCAATTTTAAAAAATGCAACCAATAAAATAATAGTATAGTAAAATAAGAGCAAAAATAAAAACATCTTTATAACAGGATAGTTACTATTAAAATAGCTAGAATTGGCGAGGTGCCACAAAAAGGGTTCTGTTTTATATACTATCCAACCTGTCCTTTTTAAATTATGAGACATACCCGAATCTCTGATGAAAATGTAGATTCTAAACCAGTGATGGCGAACCTTTTAGAGACTGAGTGCCCAAAATGCAACCCAAACCCCACTTATGCATCGTTGGGTGCCGGGTGGGTGTGGCCCATTGGGTGGGCATGGCTGCAGTGGTAATGACAGACTGGGTGGGACTAAAAAGTTCAATCAATCAATTACAACTTTGCAAGATCTTTTCTTTCCTGTGAGAATTTGAAATTGACTGATTGATTGAACCTTTTTTTTTTTTTTGCACATGGCGGCGGAGGCCTAAAGCCAAAAGGTTTTATAAAACCCAGCTGAAGGCCTAGCACTGGGGCGACAGTGCGCATGCCCACAGAGAGGGCTCTGAGTGCCGCCTCTGGTACCTGTGCCATAGATTCGCCACCACTGTTCTAAGCTTACTCCTAAAGAAAGAGGAAGCTTTGCAATGCCGAAAGTCAGAATTATGTGTTCATTGATATAGAAGTCTTTATTGATCAATATTAACATTATCAATTGTGTTGGAAACAAATTGGAAGCCAGGACAGTTAGTTCAAAATCAGTGATATGGGAATCCTAAGTACATATCAGGTAAGTATGTGAATGACATTTTTGAGCTCTTTAAAGTGACATCCTGTATAGAACATGTTACAATAATCTCTATGACATGTATCCCAATCACCAAATCACAGGTAGTATGTATTATCAGCATTATCATGAAACCTAATCTCAGTGCTCCAAGTGTTTTTCTGATGATATCTTATATAGAAGATGTAAAAATGCAATATACAACCTTTTAGAAATCTAGTGGCACAATGACATCAGGACTGAACAGTAATTCCCATACCATCCCTGACAGTTTTTAGCTAAATAAACTATTAAACCATGCTATCAATTTCCTATTAGCCAAACATCTCAGAATAAAATGATCTATAAGTCTCAAAACCCCACAAAACCAATAGCAGACTATGGAGAAAGCCAATGGAAAATAGGGAAGAGACATACGTATTCAATTTTCTACTCTTTCTGCTGCATATTAAGGGGAGTATGCTTAATATACTAGATATTTGAAGTGCTTGCAGATGTAGTATATGGTCAGGTCAGCCTTGTAATATAACTCTTAAGATATTGTATACATATATAGTACATATACAGACCCAGGGCTTTTTTTGTCATAGAACGCCCAGAACGGAATTTTGGTACCTTTTTTGGATGGAACTTTGTAGGGTAGGCAAGGCGGGTTGTATGACATGTGTAAGTTCCCACACCTTTTTTTTTTTTAACAGAAAAAGCACTGTAAAGACCCATATATACATACCGGTAATATATGAAGATTGCAGTTCTGATAGAAATAAATGTCTTTCTGAAATAGACATTTAAATTAACTTTTAGAAGTTAATATAACTGACATTTTAAAGATTTATTATATACAATATAATAATGTTTAACGGAACATTTTTCCACAGAAGGAAAAAGAAAAGAAGAAAGAAGAGAAAAAAAGGGACAAAGAACCAGAAAAAACTTTGAAAAACTTAGGAATTGAAAAAGTAAGATTGGTTTATTTGTATGTTTTAAGATTATACCATTATTCATAATTAATAGTACATAGTGCTGTAAATTCATTGCATTTTTTTATTTAATTCTTTGACCATTACAAGTCTTGGCCTTTTGGCTAAAATCACTTTTCATAGTTTTAGTTAAGATCACTTGACTTAACTAGTTTCAGAAGCATTAAATCTGAATATTTTGTACAATTGTGCTTTAAAGTATGAATTATCTTAATATCTGTACAAGAAACTTCCAGGAAATGCCTGGGCTATAAACTACATTGGAAAGTAGGGGAAAAAATTGGAAAATTGAAGCAAATGATATGGACGTGTATATATAGTCATGAGGAATTGAGATTAGCTGGAGGGAGACTGTGTTTTTTTTCTAATAGCATGAATTGCATGGATATTGTGGCTGGAAAGGTTAACAGTATAAAAAGTTTGTGATGGTTCCTCTAAAAAATGAATTCACAAAGAAAATAATAACTTTTTCATTATTTTAGGGTGTTAGGTGTCTTCTTGCAATTTTCTTTCTGTACTAATAATAGCTGATAGTTTATCTGGAAAGGAGTAATTGTGTTTTTTTTTTTTTAATAAGAGGGATCTTGGCTTGAGTAACATCAATCTTGAGAGGTCTAAATTTGTTTTATGAGCTGTACTGTCACTGTTGCCATTTTTTAAAAAAATACTTTTGACATTGGACAAGGGCATAGAGAAGGGGTAAAGGGATGAAAATTATTTTATTTTGTATGACTTGTACTTTTGTTAATAAAAATGGGCAAATCCTATGACATCAGTATTTCCCTCTAGTCCAGCTCTAAAGGGGTTCATCATAAGTGATGATAATTATAGCTTATTCTTTATTGGGTTAGCAATCAGCCAGTATATTGATCATTAGTTGCTGGTTGCTTCTACCCAAATTACTTCTGTTACATCAGAATTATGCTGGTTCATCTCAATTTGAATGTGAACTGAGAAGAGATTTAACTTTCCTGGGATACATCATTTCCTCTGCATCTGTTTATAACATGAATAGAACCTGACTTCTCTTCAGTGCTTCAGATTCACAAGGAAAAATGATATGTGTCCTTCTTTTTCTGTTTGTGATCCTTTGATTGCTCCATAACATAGACCAAGAAATACTTACCTTTTCCCTTACAATAATATTCTTTAAATAATCAAGTCTGTCATTCCTGGCTGGTGCTTTGTTCCTGATTTTTTTTTTTTTAACCAAAACAATGTTTATTTTATCTGCTGGTTGAACACATGGTGGGTGGTTGTCTATATTTCAGTGACTGCACTTCTGTGTTATGCTCAGTATAGCCCAGCCTTACTGACACTATGAATCATTAGTTTAGAACAGGGGTGTCAAACTGCCGGTCCAAGGGCCGGTTTCATCATACTGGAGCCGTGCCCACCCCATTGCTGGCAATGGCGAAAAAGCTCTGATATGTCGCGCAACATCACGTGACGTCGTGAGTTTGACATGCCTGGTTTAGAAAGAACAAGTAAATAAAAAGTATTAACAATAAAATAAGCTACAGACATTATTATTGATACTCTGGGTCTTTTGCTTGTGCTTGGTACAAATAGCATACATCTCCTGATGTTCACCTCTTTCATATTGCTATGCCTGATAATTATGTTAGTTGGAAATCACAACTCTGATTATTATTGTTTCAATTCAGCTGGTATTAAGAACACATTTAGTGAAGCCAGCTGCTGTGTTTGCTGCTCCCTGTTTATTATTTTGCTTGTAATTTTGAAAAGTGGCAATTTTAAGAGTCCAGGACATGCTTTTTGCCTGGCTTAATTATTCATTGGCTGTCTCTGCTGAATAACATGCAGTAGCATTAAGTGCTCTTTTGTTACGCTGTTCCACTGAGCATTGGAAGGCTTACTTGATTCAACTTCAAAAGCACTGTGGAATTAAATTCTTGTTTCCTTTTGTGATTGAAAACCTATAGAGAGGTTTCCAGGCAGATCATTTGATGCAAACTGAGTATTGTCTGTAGAGTCTGTTTACATTTATAATGCAGTGTATATTTTATATTTTCACTATGCAATGCAGTCTTGGATCAACGAACACATTATAAGCAGCTTTAAATATCTCCTGTAGTAAAAGGAAATGCTAAGCCGAGAAGAGCTGACTCGTGCTTTGAAAATGATCTCGGATTATGCCTTAGTAGAAGAGCATGACATTTGGCCACATTCTGCTTCTGCAAATACTGGTTTTAAAAAGTGTTTTTCTATGTCTTGCTATTTTAAAACCCATATGTGAAAAATCCATTTGCATTAAATTCTGTTGATGTAATGTTCAGTTCTTTAATCAGGAAGAATTGTATGCTAATAAATTTAAACTCCACATTCGTACAGTATGTGGATAATAATATCTCTTATTACTGGTATATCTTATGTTGCAGCATACCAAAGAATTGCTTATGATCCTTGTAGAAAATGTTCAGTCTGAAATATTGTGTCATGGTTCTGACAGATGAAACCCTTCAAAAGAACTTGGAGGCATTATTATCCTTAAAGAATCTTTTATTCGGGAAACAAAGTATTGGCACTACATAGTTGAACCCGAAAACTAAATTCCCCTCTCCTGGATACAAAGTAACAAAATACATTTCTCACCCCCAACAAACAGGCATAAATCACATTCCCCAATTAGCTTCAGCTCCCAACCCATTTTGTCCTTGGATTCCCATGGCAGAGTTATTATTATTATGACTAACTGAACTCTCATTGCAATCCCCCCTCCCAGCACCAACTAATCCTAAAAGCCTAGAGAAAATGCCTACATTTTCATCCGATGTCAAAGCAAGAACATCCGATGTTAGCAGCGTTGACATCTTGCTTATCCTTATTTCTCCATTGTCTTAAATGAAATCTTTTTCCTAGAGTTGTAAGTCATATTCAGGTATTATCTGCTTCTTTCATTTCTGCATGAGGTGTTAAGATTAGAGTTTAATGGAAGGGGACAAAAGTATAAAACTATAAGAACTGAAATACCCTGAGCAATTTAGCCCATTTGGCTGTTAGTCAAAACAGTGTGGTTTATTATATCGAATTAGAAATGAATATTTGATTTTGCAAATATGCTTTTGGAAGTGACTATCCATCCTTTAAAGTGGTTTGGAACAGCTATGGAATTTGTAGAATAGGAATTATTCAAACATGTCTCTGTAAGCAGTAAGTATTTGCGATCCTGTCGTTTGGTAAGGTTTTCATAGTTATTGGTAGAGAATTTCAAGTAAAAAGAATTAGCTATTTGTATTTTAATACATTTTAAAACATTTGAACTGCTCAACTAAATCAAATGGCAAAACTGGCACAACTAAGATATTGCACAGTATTTTGTTTATATTGAATAGCTGTTAATTCCAAAAATCTATACTGTTAAGAGTTTCTGTTAATAAAATGGTTATTAATTTGAATGAAACATCTGTCCTACTGAACTCCAGAAATTACATCTATATAATTTCTGCTTACATGTTAAACTATTTAGAATATTATACAAGGATTGTTACTGCAAGATTATTTTTATATATTTAAGAACATCAGGATCCATAGGATATGCACTGATTTCCACATAGAAAAACCTTTGTTCGAGAAGGATATGTAATTTCTGAATTTTCTGAACCCCATAAATTTGATTAAGTTAGAGCTGAAAAGTTTTAACATTTCTAGGAAAGAAAAAACAGAGGTGGTAGCAATAATGGCACTTGAAATGATCCTTGTCCATTTAGTCAAATCAATTCCTGGTCCAGGTATGATTGACTGACATCCTTTTCTTCTGCAGGGTCAGATCTATTTTAATGGTCTGCCCAGATACCAGATGAAACTGTCTGATTTCCAGCAGCACTTTTAAGATTTCCCTGACAAATTAGGAAGCAAAGACCTAGTCTGTGACTAATAAGAGGTGGTGACTTGGTCTTCGATGAAATATCCACCGAGCGGTTGATCCCTGGATTTTCCAAGGACTTCTGGGAGATGGAATAGCTAAAGCAATGCAAGAGCATAGATGATGAACAACTATTGTGTAACTGAATTTGACTGGGGGGGGGGTGTTACTAAATGTTAGACCTGCTTTATGGCAATAAGGGTATAGCATTCTTAATTTTCCTCTCATTACAGCAACAAGTGGTCATCTGGCAGCACTCTGTCGGGCAGCCAACTCCCTTTTGATTAATGACCTTGCTGCTTTGACCAGTTTGATATATTACTGATACAATCTCTCATATTCACCCTCATTAAGACTCCACTTGGGTAAGGTTTTGTGTGATGATTGGGTATCAGCTGGCCAGATAATCTGGGTTTCATTTTGGCCTGTTATCTCTGGGGAGGCAGCTAGGATGCTGGCAAGGATATTCCTAATTATACTTCCCACAGCTGACTTCTTTGAGCACTTGGGGAGGAGCAGTAGTTTCCTGGGTCCAGGAGATTGTGAATACCTCATTGTGTGAATACCAATGGCCTTAAGGTGTTTGATCATATCTTCCTTAAGAGATCTTCCTGGATCCAGAGATATAGACAACTATTGCCCAGTCTCTTCCCTTTTATTTGTCAAGGATCAGACCCCTGTATGAGTAGAGACAGCATTAATACATTTACATAACAAAGATTCCTAGAGGAATCATATATGTAAGTGCACTTATTACTTGCTCTACAATTCTACTAATATTCATTCATTCATTTTTCTGTAGCCACTCATAGTCAATTGCTTGAGTTGGGCAACTATAGAAACTGAATAAGTAACATTACGTGGCTGGAAAGTTCACATATAAAGCTGGTTTTGATTCTTTGGTGATAGAGGAAAGAGAACAGAATACAGATCTAAGTTAATAAGGTACCCACGAATGTTTGTACTAGAAGTTGCATAAATAGTCAAATAGTAAAATAAATTCTGTGTGAAAGCTAGTAGTTAATGTTTCTTTACATTTCTAGGGAACAAATTTCGAATGGTTCCTGAGGATGCATACTAAAAAACTTGTTACTGTTTGGAAACATTCCACAAAGATTTGATCCAGGCTAAAATATGTATTTGGCTTATGTTCCAAGTTTTCTTTTAATCTTTGCAGCAACTGCAACTTATTTATTGGGAATAGTTAGTAATTTGAATGGCTTAACTGAGTGGGGATTTTAATCATAGTCAACCTGTATGCTGACCATATGTGAGTAAGCCTGATTGGAAGTAGATGAGCATGTGTTTAAAAACCAAGGAAGAAATATCAAGAATTTGCACTATGCTGATAACACTACTCTGATAGGTAAAAATGGATATAATTGATAAACTCTACAAATGAAAGTCAAGGAGCACAATGAACAAAAACATAAAGAAGAGCAAACTATGACAACAGTGCAGCAAACAACCATAGAATAGCTGTGAGAAGGGTGACTATACTAGATAGATAGATAGATAGATAGATAGATAGATAGATAGATAGATAGATAGATAGATAGATAGATAGATAGATAGATAATGAGAGAGATGTATGTATGTATGTATGTATGTATGTATGTATGTATGTATGTATGTATGTGGTAGATAGCTTCTGCCTTTTATGATTATGAACAACAGAGGAAAAATCCAGAATTATTCTGTGGTGTAGCACTTAGTAGGCTAGCAATGAAGGCCTTGGAAAAGACATTCAGAGGTCTTCATCTACCAGATCAAGCAATAGTTTCCCCACTGACACTTTATGGAAACTAAGATGGAATTTAAAGAAACAGGATGTAAAGAGTTAAAACTTTTGAACTTTAGTGTTGGAGAAGAATATTGGACAGCTAAGTAAACAAAAGGATCATAGAACAAATACACTCAGAGTTGCACTCAAGGCACAAAGACCCAGGTTCGTATTATTATATTTTAGACACATTACACAAAGACCCAATTCTCTTGAGAAATCTATAATGCTATAAAGATGGAAAGAAAGAGAAGAAGGGGAGGTCAGTGATGATGGGTACAGCATTGGAAGAGCTGAAGGATCAGATTGGGGCCAAATCAGCCTGGACATCCATCTACATGGTCACTAAGAGTTGATGCGAGATGATGGCACATAATCAGTTAATCTTTCCTGCCATTATTTGACATTCAGAAAGCTATATCTTAGTAGATTATTATATGCAAGTAATATTGGTGTCGTGTTATAGCAAAGCAAATGAGAAATAATCTAACAGTCTTTGTTCCAAAGGACATTTCAGATTGCCACAACTCTTTAGTTGGCATTGGGTAATCAAATTGTTGCTTCCCCCTAATGATCAGATTACCACCTTGTTGAGATTTGCAGAAGTTGCCAAGAGATTACTGTTTTAGAAAGCCCTCAGGGTCTGATAGAATGGTGTATTACCACTTTGCAGTAGGTGATTGGCTTTTTTTGAGAATGATATTTCTTGATAAGATGGTATTATTGCTTCTTTTATATTATGTTATAATGTGTTATTATAATCTTTTTTCCCTGTTTTGAAATTTGCTTACAGTTGTTTGTGACTGAAACAGACCAGACGATAAGAATGAATGAATAAATTAACGAGTATTCTTTCTGTCTCAGCTCCCCATTGGCCTTTTGCAGAGAATAATGAAAGAGTTCTTGTGAAGGTTGTTTAAGTAACGTATATGAATGTCTCTGGCCAGTAGGAAATGAATTCTGTCATTTTTTGGGCCAATTTGCCTGTTGTTTGTGTTCTAGTACACACAATAATAATCTTTCCAATTTAAAGTAAGACTATATGGGGGGCTCTTGTTTTTGATGTTTCGCATGTGGTATATGTGTTGTCACAATCTCTATTCATTTTTAACAAAGCCTCAGAAGAAAGAAGACCAGCAACTTGATCTTAAAACAAGTCCTAAGAAAGTATCAGAATCAACTGTTGATCTTCTGGGGCTTGGTAAGTAACTAATTATCTATAATATTGAATAGAATAAATTGAAGCTATGTGTGTATTTGAACTGACAAAAATATATTCAGTGCTGCCTACTTAAAAGTAATGAGTTTCTTTTGCAAGAGAAAGTTACCACAACATTCTGATGAGAGAATGCAATATTCACAGAGCCATGTGAATATTGCATTTTTTTTTTGTTTAGTGCCCATCCTAAGGAATCAACATTAATCCTGTGTGAATTTGAATTTGATTTCTCAGGATACAAATCTTCAGCTTGATTGTTGTCCTGACTTAATGGAGGGTTGTTGTTGTTTTTTTTTCCATCAGGCCAGCTATCCTGAAAAACCATAAATGCCAGAGAAGGAATATATTATTCTATCCTTTCTCCTGCAACTAATTCAGCTTTTAACCTTTATTCTGGACACCTCTCCACACGCCCTTTTTACGAATATTCTTGTGCATTGAGTATAGCAATAGCAGTAGCACTTAGACTTATATACCTTATGCTTATATACTTTCCAGCACTCTCTAAGTCAGTGGTTCTCAACCTGTGGGTCGGGACCCCATTTGGGGTCGAACGACCATTTCACGGGGGTCGCCAAACAACGCAGTCCGCCATTTTTTCCCCCTTTTCCTTAGCTGTGCTACTCCCATTTATTCTATTGGCTTTTGAAAGCCAATAGAATAGACTCTCTTGAATAGAGTCTAATTCTATTGGCTTTCAAAGGCCAATAGGAATTGTCCAGGCTGTCTCTGCCCTGCTGAGCCCGCCAAAAGTCCCATTCTGCAAACGGTGCTGCACCAGTTGAGTAGTCCTCGACTTATGACCGGTTGAGTAGTCCTCAACTTACGACCGGTTGGGGGGTCGCAGCATTAAAAAGGTTGAGAACCACTGGTCTAAGTGGTTTACAGAGTCAGCATTTTTCTCCCAACAATCTGGGTCCTCATTTTATTCACCTCGGAAGGATGGAAGGCTGAGTCAACCTTGAGCCAGTCAGGATTGAAATCCTGGCTGTGAACTGAATGAGCCTGCAATGTTGTTAACTGCGAAGTCGTGTCGGACCCATCGCGACCCCATGGACAACGTTTCTACAGGTCTTCCTGTCCTCTACCATCTTCTGGAGTCCATTTAAATTCACACCTACTGCTTCAGTGACTCCATCCAGCCATCTCATTCTCTGTCGTCCCCTTCTTCTATTGCCCTCAATCTTTCCCAACATTAGGCTCTTCTCCAGTGAATCCTTCCTTTTCATTAGGTGGCCAAAGTACTTGAGTTTCAACTTCAGGATCTGGCCTTCTAAAGAGCAGTCGGGGTTGATCTCTTCTAGGATTGACCGGTTTGAACGCCTTGCAGTCCAGGGGACTCGCAGGAGTCTTCTCCAGCACCATAGTTCAAAGGCCTCAATTCTTTTGCGCTCAGCCTTTCTTATGGTCCAACTTTCACAGCCATACATTGCAACTGGGAAAACCAGGGCCTGGACTATACGCACTTTTGGTGGCAGGGTGATGTCTCTGCTTTTTAGTATGCTGTCTAGATTTGCCATAGCTTTCCTCCCCAGGAGCAAGCGTCTTTTAATTTCTTGGCTGCAGTCCCCATCTGAGGTGATTTTTGAGCCCAGAAAAATAAAATCTGTCACTACCTCCATTTCTTTCCCATCTATTTGCCAGGAATTGAGAGGGCCGGATGCCATGATTTTGGTTTTCTTAATGTTGAGTTTCAAGCCAACTTTTGCACTCTCCTTCTTCACCCGCATCAAGAGGCTCTTTAGTTCCTCTTCATTTTCTGCCATTAGAGTGGTATCATCTGCATATCTTAGGTTGTTGATATTTCTCCCGGCAATCCCGGCATGAGAGCCTGCAATACTGCAGTCTTACCACTGTGCCACCACAGCTCCAAGAAACGTAGGAACCAAGCTTCTCATCATAGCAGGACAGAGTGATTCAGGCCTTTTAAACTTGATTTATTTCTGTGCTAGTTGTGCAGGACAATTAGATGACAAGGCTGACACTAAGCCAGTAGCTTTCCATCCCTGGTTTCAGGGTTGCTATTACTTACAAAGCTATATGTATGTACACCTTAGATATCTAAAGCCTATAATAAATTAAACTGGGTTCTCAACATGCCACCTGGTGATACCAGTGTGCATCCAGATTCTTTGCTTGGTTTCCTCCCAAACATCTTGCCTGCTTTTTTTTTTTTTTCATTTTAAAAAATAATTAATTAAAATAATGACTTCATGTCTGAATGTGAACTAGAGATTATTTTGATTACTTTGGCAAATTCTTTTTTCTCTCAAAGTGGATGATGCATTCCTGAGTCATCTTTCAGAACTTTGGTGCACTTTTAAAGTTGTTGTGCTGGGATGTTTAGATGTTAATTTATATTAGTTCTGATTCCTTAGAGGGTGCTGGGGTATCTTGATCAATTGTGAGACCATTAGCCTATGAATTCTCCCAGGCTCTTTAATTTTGGGGAAGCAGTCGGGCTACCTATATATTAGCACTATATCTGCTATCCTAATGATGATGCTAATTGCAACTTGCCTTCCCATTTTGCCCATGCTGCTGCCCCAGCCTTGCTTCTGCTATTCCCACCTCCTCTATCTTTTCTGCTAAAGAAGCATCTTTTTATCCTTAACAGCACACCCCATTATAACTTCATACTTGCACCTGTGTTGCTATCCCGTTAGGCTTTGCTAGTATTGTATCACTAGTGAGTTGTATTTTCCACTACGTCAGCAATATTTTAATTAGCAATAGCATTTAGACTTACATACTGCTTCATAGTGCTTTACAGCCCTCTCTAAGTGGTTTATAGAATCAGCATATTGCCCCCAACAATCTGGGTTCTCATTTTGTCGACCTCAGAAGGATGGAAGGCTGAATCAACCTCGAGCCAGTCAGATCAAACTGCTGGCAGTGAGCAGAATTAGCCTGCAATATTGCATTCTACCTATTCTAGCCACTGCCCCACCACGGCTCATAATTGTAAAGTCACTTCTTTCCTAGCCTATCAGCAAAGTGAACCAGTAAGATGCTTCCTTTCAGCGCAGAGCCAATGGCAACTTATTACTTTAGCTCACTTCTAAGCGAGAAAAGTAGATTCTTACTATTTAAGATTAGTACAAACATGGCTGTCTTAATTTTCAATATTCTGTAGCAGTTTTGAGAAAAGAGCCTTTAGGGATAGGATTGTGGGATATTATAATAGACTTTAATTAAGACTTTGATTCCACTGTTCCAGAATGCCATAGCGAGGTATTAATTTAGACCAACTATGGAGAGCATGTAATTCACTCATTACAACAGCTTTACAGGAAACTGAATCTGTTTCCAAGGATAGCTATTAAATGCTGGATTGTCCTACTAAAAAAAAAAAACCATATGAATTTTCCTAGATTTTGAGATCCTCAAGAGATCAAAAATATTAGTTATTAAAATAATTACCACTTTAGGACAGTATTATTATCCACCTAACTGAAGGCCATGAATAGTGTGCTTGCTTTTGAGTTCTCAAAAACTCATCATGTGGTAAAATGTATTCAGAACTAAAGGGACTAAAGATGGTGGGTGTTGTTTAAATAAAATGATTTATTGTCATTTTTCTACAGGTAAATTAACAACTTTGCTGATCCAGTTCATTGAGAAAAGATAACATTTTTTACTAGTATTGTATTGTTGTTATGGCCACCCATTCCAGATGATTCTGGGCAGCAGTTGTTGCCTTAGTTGCTATTCCTGTTCATTCTCTCATATTCTACATATTTTTTTTTATTAAAAAAGGAGAATCTTAGACACTGTATATTTAAAAATATTCAGGAAATTACTGGATTATTTTACTGTGACATGAATGCAAAGAATACACTTAGCACTTCTAGGGCTCTACAAATATTTAATGCGTGACTTGAATATAGGTTACCATAAAGTACCAATGGTTTAAAATGATTTGCAAATATGCCATGGTTAGATTTTTCCTTCTTATATTTCCGGTTTATGTCTGGAAAACAATCAAATATCTGCAATGGAATTGGAGAAGCATGTGGAAAAAGGGAAACCATTCTATCAGTTAATTCCCTTCTCCGTGTATATGAATATAGCGAGAGACGGACCAACATTTTTACACTCATCCTCTTAAAATGTACACTGTGTACTGTTTTAATCTTCACCAGTATATTTCAGATTGAAGAGCAATATTACCAACAATTCACATGGTTTATGATAGTGCTTAGAACATATTTTAGGCTTTGCTAATAATGTAATGTTATTTTTTCCCAACTGATTTCCCAACATTTTAAAATTCTGCAGATAATACTTGTCTTTTAGCTTTACTGATTAGTATGTGTGTCTGTGTATGTTATGTATATGTGTGTATATAAATTTACCATACTAGAGATTTAAATTCAAAGTAAGTGACATCACTTTTTAAATTTGGAAATAGGCATTTCCTTTAAAATAATACTTTTACAAAACTACTCCTTTTTTGGATGTCTTGTAAAATTATGCAGTGTTACAGCTTTACCTTTTCCATCAAGTTTAAAGGTTAAATTTGCCAAAAGAAGCAACACTTGTTTTCTGTTTGATGCACCATTTACCATGTTCCATTAAAAAACAGATGAAAATGTATAGTTGCAGACTTTAACCATCTCAGCATATTATCACTTAAAAACAAATAATCTCAAACTTCATGTGAGGGCATCAGTGAATTGTTATGTTCTTTCATTTTAGATTGATTTTAAAATAACAGACATTAAAGGAGAGATTTACCAAAAACAAGAAGAAACTAAATTTCCACCTTGTAAACAATATTTTTCCTAGAGAATTTTCTGTATAACTAATGCTCCCTTTGAGGTTTTAAAATCCTACTTTGTGATTCTGGAGATCCAGTATTAATTATAGAATAGTAAATTTTCCCCTTTTGGTTTGTGGCAGAGCTAAGTGATAATAAAACGGGAAAGGAATTGTGTTTTTCTTCTCATTCTTGAAAATATGATATCATTAGCAAACTT